GTTTCCTGTGAATTAGAATAAATTCCTTTTTACTTGTTAGGTTAAATAACGGGGTACATCAACTTTGTGCTCCATCTTGTGGTACAAAGTGGTATTGCATTAAAGTACAGCTCGGCCCCAGTTCAAGTTCAGTTGATAGCGATGAAGTCATAGCTGTAGATGTTTCTTCTTATTCTGTTCATCGTTTTAGTGAATTCTGTAAGGTTTTAAATTATTTTATGAAAAGACTAATGCAGAATGTTTACGATCAGTTTGCAATCTTACACATGAGAAGAAAATAATCTTCATAGTTGCAGTGGGGTTTTTTCTGCCTCCTCCATCAGGCAGAGGTATTCATGCAGGCCAAAAGAGATTCAGAGGTGGCATGAAATCATAATTCTCATTTTTGGTAGTAATAAAATAATTTGTTGCTGAAGAAAAATCGACCTGTCATAGTTAATTACATCTTTAATGTTTTTTTGGTGGGAATGTTTCCCAAGAATCACCATTGAAATCTGCACCTGTTAATGTACAGGCATGTACAGACATACAGAGAAGCTTTAATTATTGTGACATCATTGGGTCACAAGAAGATGCAATATACTTTATTGATCCCCCAAGTTTTGAAGTTTCTGTGTTAAATAGCAGCTAAATAGTTATCAAATAGCTCCATGAAATAAAAAATATGATGCTCAGACAAACTAATTTAACAAGGTCACAAATACAAGACAAAAACAGCACATTTAAACTGGAAAAGTGAACCAAAATCAAATAAAGGAGCTCAGTGATCATCTAAATAAGATCAATCTCTGTGTGTTGTGGTTTGTGTGGAAACGATTTGTGTGTCTCTCAAGGTTTTTACAGTTTTAGGTGTTTTGCATGCAAAGTTTAACTTTATCATATTTACAACCTATATTTGAGATTTTATTGATCTGTCACTATACCAGACTTTCTAAAAGTCCATATTTCCATAGCTGTTCTTGCACTTCAGCAGCTCAACCACGTTATGAAACAGAGACATTTGTAGACCTTTGAGGAGAAAAACTCATATAAAGAAGTTTTTTAGTCTTTAACTACACAACCACTTTTGAATTGTCTTTAACGTACCCGTCAGTTTCGATCCCGAGCCAGCAGCTGCCTCTGCATCCTCTCAAACTGATGACAAAGCATCACAGTGACTTGGCAATTTCGGATTCTCCGTAGCGTCTGCAAGGCATCTCGAGTGTTTGTTCCTCCGCCTCCTGCAATCAACGCCTCGCTGGGCGCTGCCGCTGCTGCTGCTGAGCTCCGAGTCACATATGCAGGAACTGCTGCGCTCCAGGTTACAGGGAGTTGTGTTGTTGAGCACTTCTGGCTGCTGAACCATGCGGAGCAGGAGGGGCTGGAAACTCGATCTGAGCTAAAAATAAAGAATCATCACCAGCATAGTGAGATAGGAGGTGTGTCACTCACTGTGTGTACGCATGTGTTGGGTCACAGAGGTGCACACACACACACTCACACACACACACACTCACTCACACACACACATGGGGGGTTTATCATGTGTCAACATTTCCTTGAAGTCCCCCCTCCCGTATGTTCTGCTCTGGGAATTTCTTTAACCCTCCTGATTTTTGCTGCCATTATCATTCACAGACACACACAAGGCCAAAAAAAGAGCAAAGAGGTAAGGACGCTTATCGCTCTAGTTACATCACACGACCACATCCTTAACCTCTAAATCAACTAAAATACACAAACGCACACAAACGCACACAAACACGGCGTGTATCCCACCGCCTGCTCACATTTTAATTATTTTCTCCAAATATTTGTACGACCTCACAGAGGGACGTGTTCAGGTTCACCTCACGCATCACGAGCCATTCCCCTTTAAAAACAATCCAGCCCGCTACATTCATCACGCCACCTCACCGCCTGCATCCTCCACGTGAATGTCTTTGTCAGCACGCAAGTTGAGGCCTTCAGTCGATGTCTGTTTTGGCAGCCTTGACTTGAGTGGCCTTGTTTCTGTGGCAGGCATTGACCCACTGTCAGACTCTCCAATGGCAGAAATCAAGACAAACCGAATATTACATTTAGTGGCTGGACACGAGGGAAGTGCCGGGTTTGGAATCAGGTTCAAAGAGGCTGATGAGTGCAGTTTACAGCAGGACAGGCAGGAAGTGTGAAAGATGTCAGAGTCAGTGTGGAATATTCAGATGGATTTAAAGCAGGAACAAGAGATGTGGTGTCTAAAAGAGGAGAGGAAACACGTTTTTAAAGGAGCTGGGACATGATGTTTAATAAAAACTAATCATTTTCCGCGGCTGTCAGATTTATTTCGGTTCATGGGTTATCTTCACGCCAAACTTTCCTTTCTTTGGTCCTTTCTTCTCTCTGTCCTTGTTTTCATTCATTCCTTTCCTTCATTCCTTCCTCTGGCCTAGCTTCCTTTGTTGTTTCTTTCTTCCTTTTCTGCTGAATGTGCCTTCCTCCTTTCTTCTTGTCCATCTTTCCTTATTTTGTTATTCTTTCTTCTTCCCTCTTTTGTCGCTCGTCTTGCTTTCATTTTATTTTTTTTAAAAATCTTTTTTGTTCTTCTCCCTTTTGATATTTTCTTCATTTTTAACATTTCCCTGGTTTCCTTATTTAGTTTTCACTCATCTTTCTTCTTGACTTTCCTCCTTTGTTGTTTATTTCTTTTCTTTTCCTGTTCCTCCATCTTTCTTTCAACACTCCCAGTTTTCTCTCTCCCTTTGCTGTTCCTTGGTTCCTTTTTGATCTTTTCTCACTTTTTCTTTATTTCCTATTTGCCTGCTGTCTTATGAGCACACCTGTGTATTTTATTCATGCATTTAATACATCTTTAACCTTGTAACAAGTCCGATCAGTAAAACCGTTATATATTGTAGAGTTCACCCCGACCCCCATTAAATATTTCACTTTTTAAATGTGAAACTTTTACTTTTGTCTTCTTTTAACATACATTGTCTCACTGAATTTATTTTAAATGTGCAACACTTCTGATTACTAAGTTTTGATAGAAACTGCAGTTCTTTTCTTAAAGTTGCCACAAACGTGTTGTTGTTGTTTTTGTATCTCTGCTGAGGCGTCCTTATGGATTTCTGTGAGTACAGCTGGAAAACACATTTAAGTTCTGGTAAAACCTGCAATCAAACTAGCAAAGTCTGTCTATAATTCAGAGACAGCATCATTTTAATGTTGATGGCACATGAGAACAGCAACAAGCACTGGTCCCCTGGATGATTTTGATATTTTACTGGAGAAAATTTGAAAACTGCACTTTGAGTGAATACCGACGGTCATATTGTGGGAGATGCTCAGTTAAAGTTTTGGTGCAGTGGTTCCTTTTGGCTCAAAAAGCCTTCCCAATCTGGTCATGTTTAACATTTGTAAATGTTTATGTCTGTACAAATATTGAACCATGAAGGAAAATGTTGAACTTTTTAATGAAGTTATTGTATGAATGAAAGCAGCTGATTGGGAGCTATCCTTTAATCTCGGAGCTGCTTTTGTTTCCACTTTGTTTGTTTAACAAATCCTATGGTGGTTATTTTGCATGTCAGCCCTGCAGCTCCTTTCAGGAAAGAACGAACACGAAACACAGAACAGTAAACTGTGTGTAGAGTAGTACACACTGAGAAAGAATATACGTCTGTTTGGCCACAACAAATTTCACTGTATATGAAGTTATATGTAAAGTTTTCCTCTTTTTCAGGCTTGTGATTCGTCAGTGTTTGGATCAGAGGACACTTGGCTGTAGTGTTGCTGCGGCGGTCACGTTGTGGTTGTGGTTCAGGTCTCATCTTCTCAGGTTTCGTGCTGGCTCTCAGCGTTCGAAATGCCCAACTCTCCTGGATTCACACGCTCTAAATTTAGCTGCCTTAAAGTCAGACAGGACAGCACGGGAGACTTAAACTCCTGAAACACAGAGACTCAACTTTTTGATATAAATGAAGCATTTCCTGTGCTCTGAAACTCTCTTTTGGCCTCAGTGAAATTAAAGATTGTTGAGCTGTTGGACCAATGGGAAAATCAAAGTGTGGATTCACATGGAAAATGAAATTCATTGGGAATCAAGAGGCAGACATGTAATCTCATACAACACCGATATTTCCCTGCTGGCTTGACCGAGGCTCCCGCAGAGATGAGACTCTACTTTTCTTTGTTAGTTGTCTTCAGTCTTTTTGGTAAGTCCAAAACAATCCTTCCTGTTCTTCAGTTTTAACTTTTGACTCTGAGAAACGATCAATGCTGGTGGCTGAAGTTTTGCTCTAATACATGAAAACCGTTTACTTTGACCGTAAAGCTCTCTTATTCTGGAAAGTTGAAAATGACTATAAACGCAATAAAACGAAAAAAGGTTACGAATTTAGTTTGTTGGACAAATATCATCAGATTCCTGATGATATTTGCACCAAAACAGTGATCTGACATTCACGGCGGCCTTTTCGATACAATGTTGCATAACTGTCTTCATAACTGTCTGTGACTGGTTACATTTATTCTTTAGTTTCTTCTTTTTTTGTTTATTGTATTTTACAGATAAACAAATCCTGTTTTATTTTTTTTATTTTTTGCATTGCATTGTATTTCATTTCTACTGTCTTTATTTACAAAAGATGATATAAGAATATCTGCATCTATCTGTAGCCCGCTGTCCTTCTTTTCAGCCTTTGTCTCATTTTTCTCCAACTGCAGTCACTGTGTTTTTCGTGGTGTTGACATGTAGAGTTTAATTAGAAATAAAAAATACTCACTTATTGCTGTTTCCAGTAGCCGTCACACCTGCACACCTGCGTTTTCCGTCTGTGTGTTGTTGAAGTTGGGGCGGGGACGACAGAAACAGACCGGACGCTTCCTCAAAGAGGCGGCTGTTCCTGTTCGATCCATCATTTGCATCCGGAAGGACTGAATGATGCGTCTGTTTTGTTTTTCTGAATGCAAACAATGATGTGTTCAATGACGTTTGCACACATTTCCAGATTTGATGATAAGAAGAGAAGAAACACAGACAGATGTGTTTTTTAGAGCGACAACGTGCAGCATGAAAATTTCCTGGAGCTGAATCAGTCTGCTGACTCGTGTACGTGAGGGCTTTACTCACATACAGTTAATGCTACATGCAAAACATGTCTAACCTCCAGAGTTTTCAGCTTTTACGACTGTCTGTCTGATGATTACACTGTTTGTTTTTGCCTAAATGAACACTGACTGGACACATCATTAGGTACATTTTGTTAGTACTTTTGGCTTCAGAACTGCAGTAACTCTTTATGGCACTGATTCAACAAGGTACTGAAAACATAAAAAAAACGTAAAATGACAGCATAACACATTTGCTGTAGGTTGGTTATTAGACCAGGCAACATTTTTCCAGTCTTCTGTTGTGCAGTTTTGGGGAGATCGTGTGAATTGTAGCTTCAGCTTTCTGTTCTTAGCTGACAGGATGAACACCCGGTGTGGACTTCTGCTGCTGTAGCTCGTCTGCTTTTGTACTTAGAGATGCTCTTCTGCAAACCTTGGTTCCAACAAGTGGTTATTTGAGTTTCTGTTGCTCTGGTCTGGCTCCTCCTGCGGCTCCTGGATATTTCCTGTTTCTCTGTAAATCCGAGAGATTAATCCACTTTTTTGGTCTTCATTCTGATGCTGAGATTCAGCAGGTCGCCTCAAACACGTCTTCATACATGGTAAATGCATTTAGTTCCTGCCACATGATTGGATGATTAGATATTTGTGTTAGCGAGCAGTTCAGTAGGTCTACCTAACAGAGTGTATGCAGGTGTTTTATTGATACGTGTGTGACTGTAATCTTCACGTGCAGGGCGATTAAAACTATTTTGGTCTGTTATGACATGATTTATGTCGCTTTTTCTTCTTATTGCAGCCTGTGTGCTAAATGATGTGATATGTGTGTGTAACTGGAAAGACATGTTTTGGGTATTTTTGCCTTTAGTTTTATTCTTTGTCTCTCTACTTCTTGTTTAAGTAAAGTTTTGCTTGCTTGATAATTGTGACTGCCGACAGATTCATTCACAAAGTTCTGATTTATTTCTTCTCTTGTATTTTTTCTCTCTCTCTCTGCTTCTATTTTATATTTCTTCTCCTACTTCTTCTTCCCCTCGTCCTCTCTCTGCAGTGTCTCAGTGCCACGCCGGCTGTTCTGAGGTGGATTCTCTGACTGAGGCTGTGGCGGGACAAGGATTCCTGCTGGGCTGCATCTCCTGCAAGAGACGAGAGGAGGTCCCTGCACGAGCCACCGTAGACTGGCATTTCAAGCCTCTGGGAGAGGAGGAGTTCAGGCATGTAAGTTTAACAAAGTTCTCTAGTGACTCAGGTATTGAGCATCAAACAAAAACATCATTTTTTTTCCTTTTTATTGTTGATGTTTTTTCTTGTTTCTTGACACAAACATAAAAAGAGCAACACTGTTCTGGACCACTTTCTACAGAATAACAGCATCACTCACATCCAGCACAGTGTGGGTGGAGTTTGCACCGGAGAACCCAGTGCGGGGAAAACACCTGCACCACTCTGTGTGGGCAAATAACTCCACAGACACAAACACCATGGCATAAATTACACAGTAAACTGCTGCCACCATGGATACGTGTTGGAAAATGGATGGAGGGATAGATGGATGAGTGGATGGAGGGATGAATGGGTGGAGGGAAGGATGATGGATGGATAGATAGATGCATGAATGAATGGATGGGTGGATATATGAGGGATGGAGGGAGGGAAGATGAACTGTTTTATTTGTCAGTGTCTACCTTTGTTCATCTTAGATCAGCGGTCCCCAACTTTTTTTGCACCACGGCCTTTAAGGTGTCGCAGATGAACAGCACAAAATAAAACGATTAGCGGTACCAAAAAAAGAAGATTTATTCATAACACACAGGAAAAGACCCAGAGAAACCGAGTTAATGATAAAAACGATAAAAAAACATGAAAAACATAAATTTCACACCTGAGCCTCGACTCTCATGGCCCCGTACTAAACGACTCATGGCCCGGCACCAGTCCATTGGCGGCGTGTCGGGAACCGCTGCCTTAGATGACTGATCACTGATTGGTGGCGGATGTGAGGGTCCATACATGTAAGCTCACATGTATCCCTTCAAACTTTTTTATTATGAAGTGCACCCCTTGTTAAGGGTTCAAATATTGAGGAGGAGAGTAAAAACAACCATGGTCCAGAAGAGCTTGGTCAAACAATTGATTTTAATGACCACACGCAGCGTGGGGAGATGTACAATCCAAAACACCAGCTGTAGATCTCCACCCAAAAAACCACTTCAGATTGCTTTTGATTCATCAGGGTTAACGCCCCCTCGTGCGTCATCAGATACAATACATGCATTCGTCAAATCAAAACCACAATGACTTTTAACACAGTTTGAAAAGAACATTGTCTCCGTCTCCACGGCAGCTGCTTCCTGTCCATCTTCTGACCCTCGCTTCTCCAAAACCTCGGGCCATGCTCTGCAACAAACTAGCAATTCTGCCCGCACAAAAATGCAGTTGCAAGCAAATATATCTGAACTCTCACCTAGAACATAAGCCTACCTACAGTGTGTGCAGGTGTGTGTCTCGACCTCACACAAACTTTGTCTTATGAGAAGAGAGGCCAATTCTCCTGTGCATAATAACCTAACTGAAACTATATCTGTAATATGTTGAATAAATGTTTTAATCAAGAACAGCTCCTCAAAGTAACTTTCACAAGCACGCTCTGTAAAAGCCTGCGCTTCCTGTCTACTTTGCACAGAGTGTACTCAGAGTTAGGCCTTTCTTTTATAACGCAATATAATCTACATATAAACATTTAAGATTATAGATTTAACTCAACAGTTTAACGTGGTTATAACTGCACCTGTAATAAAGGCTAACTGGGTACCAATATGTTTAAACATCTGAAAACAATATCAATGCTGTAGATTGTGTTATTAATGTTATTACTGCAGTGGTAATGATGATGACCATGAACAATAGCAGAAAAATATTTCTCTAATCCCCGCACCCTGACACATCTCTGACGAGTTTTTGGTCTCAGTCATTTGTTTAAAGTCCTACTGAATACATGGTGATATTTATTTGGTACAATATGTTATTATTAGAGCTCAAAGGGACAATAAAGCAGGGGATGTTATAGAGCAGGCCTACCTTGTCAGCGATCAGCTTATATGTGTCTATTTCATTATGTTCTATTCAGATATAAGTGAGGGAACAAGTATAACTAAATTCCCAGTTTTTAATTCTTTCCCTATCTCAGATTTTCCACTATGACCATCCTGTAGCTGACATCCTCCATGAAGACTTCAGCGAGCGCCTGGTATGGCGCGGGACACTAAATGATGACCTTCAGATGGGAACCGTGTATGTTAATAACGTCACCTTCAATGACACTGGGACGTATCGCTGCACCTTCCACCGTACCCTCTTCCTGCCGCTGTCTCCTGAGCTTGTCACCGTGGAGAAGGAGGTGGAGCTTAGTGTGGTGGCTGTAGGTAAGGAGGATGGATTTAAATCCTTCAGTTATACAAAATATTGTTGTTCCAAGCAGTGTTGCAAAAGATCTTCTTCTCTATGCATGCTGGGCGGATAGAAGAGAAGCTAATATGGGAGAAATACGCCCCTGTTAGGCTTCTCTCTGAAGCTTCATTGTCAGTTCCTGTTTCCCAGCCAATCGCGAGCTGACTGATGTGATCTCGGAGATAATGATGTACGTGCTGATCACGTTCCTGCAGCTGTGGCTCATTGTGGTTCTGATCTACTGTTACAAGAAAATCTGGGACGAGCACGAAGCACGTCAAGCTAAAAAGGCTCAGGCTGGGTAAGTCACGTCTGTTGATCAGGTGATCTGTTCACAGGAAACAGGTCATTTTGGTTGTGTTGGTTTTATATCTAAAAACATTGTTGTGTCTCCTTCGTGCACTTGCAGACAGGGAGAATCTAAAGATAACTGTGACGGGGTGCAGCTGGACTAACATCAGCGGTGAGTTGCTGTATAAATTCTCTGTACACAGAAGAATGTCTTTCACTTTGATTTTTGTGATTGTATCTTTCATTTTTTATATCCATCAGATTGCTACACCACGATTCTGATGAAATGGAGCTCAGGCAGAAGATCAGAGCATTTTGTTCTTTGAGATGGACCTGCTCATTTACACCTTCGTGTTTCTTTTTCTTTTGTGGACTCTGCCAGAGCGGCTTTGCATGACTACAATTCAAAATAATCCTTATTTATCTCATGCTGGACCTCGATGAAGCCTCTCAGATTGTCCTCTATGTTAAACAAGCTGTTTATTTCCCTTTTAAGGCATTTTTCTTCTGATTGGCTGCCCCTCATACGCAACAGATTTGAAAATGTGGGTGGAGCCTTTGTACCTGAGATGACCTTATTAGGGATATCCCCTCTCTCTTGTGTCATACAAACCCAAGAGTAGATAAATCTGAGTGTGGGCAGTCTGATGAATTTGTAATGCAAACATCTTCCACTGTAACATCGCATAAATGACAGGGGAAAAGGAAAACCTCCACTTTGAGTGGAGGTGAGTGTAGAGCTTCTTTAAGTTAAGGCTTAAAGGCCTTAAAGGTGTGAGTAACACCTTTAAACTACTAATGTTTATTATCTCATAAGTCATATTTACAAAGCATCTATTAATCCCTCATCCTGCATTACTTTAAAAACACTAAGCCTTCAATGAAGAGTTTGCGGTCAGCAATCTCCGAACAATGAAAGTGTTGGATTAAATTACTGCTTATTTGCCACAGGTGAGCTGTACACAAGTTACCTACTATACTCATTAGAGACTTACAAGTTAGCAGTGACTCGAGAATATTCCTTCTCCATCAATAATTCCAGATGAATGTGGTCTGTTCTCCCTGTGTGCATTCTTACACCCCGGCCTAGCACGAGCTGGAGCAAT